GACTCTTCAATCTGGTTCAGTTTGCTAAGATCCACTTTATCAATGTTTCCTGCAGGAACATGTGACAGTGAGTCAGAGAGTCGCAGCCAATGTTGCCGCCGAGAGACGAGTTGTGGACCTACCCAGCTGATCCATTAGGTCTGTGATGATCTTCAGGACCGTCTTCACCGTACTCTTGGCCTTGCGAGCGTTGTCCTCAGCCTGTTTGGCGGTTTCTGACGCTGCAGGACAAACCAGTCGCACCGACTATCAGCAACAGTTCAACACTTCATAGGTCGGAGGATTAGTTCGTACCATGGAAGCCATCATCATGTCGCTGTCGGCCTCGGCCTTCTTCTTCTTCAGCTCCTCCTCCGCGGCGCTCAGCTGATCCATCATGTCATCAACGTCTTTGTCCAGCTGTTTGTGTCCTGCAGCGCCTTCTCTGCGTCTTCTTTAGTCTTAGCTGAGCCCTGCCAGGACACCATGGAGGAGACAGTGAGCGGATCAGTTCACTGTCAACCAGCAGGGGGCGCCTCCTTACCTTCTGAACGTTGCCTGCGATCTTCTCAGCCTCTTCAGCCTTCCTCTTGGCCTCCCCAGCATCACCAGCAGCATTACCAAGCGCCTCCTTCGCCTGCCGCGTCTTCGTTGGCGGCCATGATGGTGGCATTGATGATGGGGATCTTCTTCATGGCTTCCTCTGCTGCTGTCTTGTTATCGTTGACCCTCCGGTCAAAGTCTGGAAGAAGTTTGGAAATAACCATCAGATTAAAATTATTCAGAAGGAAAACATTTACAATAAAAGGAAAATTAAAGCAACTTTTAATCTCAATTTTCTCTTAGAGAAACTTGTAGTAAGAGTTCTGCATTGATGAAAGTTTTTTTAATGCTCAGATAGAGAAAACAAAAAGCCGAGAATCCCCAAAAGTTCTCATGAAAAGTAGTGATGGTTTTGTCCAGTAACAGGAAGATTGCAACAGTTTGCATGAAGCAGTGCTGCAGCCTGTGTGATGCTTCCTGCATTGTCATCTCTCATCTCCATGTTTGCTGAAGAGCAGTCTGAGGGGAACTGCCGGTTTGGATCTTGGGCGGTTCCGTACCTCGCAGGTCCTCCAGGATGCTCTCTGCTTCTTTGAAAGTTGACTGCCTTTCTTCGCCGCCTCCTCGGCCAGAGCTTTAGCGGCATCGGCTCGGGCCAACAGCTGATCTGCAGTCTGGGACAGAAGGAGGTTTAGTGTCTGGTGTTAAGTGGCTCAGCTGCAGGAGACGCGGGTCAGAACCTGAACCCACCTGCTGCTCACTCTTCCCTTCTCCAGCAGCTTCGGACCTCCAGCTCTTTGGGCTTCAGGTCGTCTCGCAGCTCGTTGTACTCCCGTTCTGTCTTGTCAATCAGGTTGTCCAGATCGGACGCCTCTTAATCTTTTGGCATCATCCTGGAAACAGGCGCATCATTAATAAGTTTTGACTCTGCGAGCAACGCATGTCTTTTTCACCTTGCTAACATTCACCTCTAAAGTCTTGGTGTCAAACGGCGGGAGGCTGGTCAGGTTGGCGAACAGCTTCAGAGCTTTGTTCCCAGCGTCCTCTGCCTCCGCCTGCACCTTGTGGGCCTGTTTCTCCAGATCCTTGGCCCGCTCCTTCGCCTCGTTGTACCTGAACGGGAGGAGGAGTCAGAAACTCAAGAACTTCAAATTTGTTGGGAACTCATTGCCTCAAAGTCCAAAAACTTCAAACAGACTTTACACACAACGACAGCAAACTGCAACAAATGGAAAACCTTTTACAAGCAAAGATGAAGCAACTAGAGACAAAACAGATTCAAAAGTACCAAATCAAATGAGCGAAAAGCTGAAACACTGCCAGCAGGACGCGGCCCGTCTCCTTTAAAACCGTTTTCATCCAGACAAACTGACATGTGACCTACATCTTGTTGAGCTTGTCAATCTCGTCGGCCATCTTGCTCTCGCCGTCGATGGTCTTCAGCAGCAGGTTGTATGCTTTGGTTGACGTGTCGTTGGCATCTTTAGCGATCTTTTCAATCTGATCGGCGTCCATCTTGTGCCTGTAGAACAACATTTCATGGATGGATTCAGTTCATCTGATGAGTTCTTGGTGAGTCTTTCGCCGGTCGGAGCGACAGGCGGTGAATCAGTCTTACTTGTCGGCGAGGCGCGCCTCCTCCGCCAGCAGCGTCATGTTGTTGGGTTCTCCAGTGCCATCGGTAGGTTTGATGTCCTGTGAATAACGTCGGCTCAGTTACCTGCCACTGATCGATCCTTTGGATATCAGGACGATATTGATGTTATTTACCACTTTGCTGACGGCGTCCTTGGCCTTGGCCAGTTCCTGCCGAGCTCGATCTATCAGGCTCTCGGCATCTCGGACTCTGTCACGCGCGCGGTCAGCCTGAGCGCTGGTCGTCCACCGTGTTGCGGATGCTCTGCAGTCGGTTCCACTGGGTGGTCAGGGTGATGTTCAGGGTGTTCAGACGGTCCAGCAGACCTCGGTCTGCGTCTGCAAGGACCCGGTCAGGTTAGCAAACCGTGATGACCGTTGGTTTAATAACACCATCTTCTGGCCTCACATTGTTCTACATGTTTCAGTCTGCAGAGCAGCTTTACCTTTGCTATTCTGAGCCTCTTCCAGCAGCTCCATGATGACCTTTTCTGCCTCTTCAATCTGTCCTCAAAGGCCTTATCACTGACTGTATCCTGGCCGGAGCCCAGATTATCTATCAGCATCTGGAGTTCTTGTAGCTTCTGTCTCTGCTGGTTCACCTGGACACCATGTTAGAAACCATTTCAGTTTGAAAGGTCATGTGAAGCAGCGCAGCTCCGACCAACGACTGCTCACCTTGTCTCGGACCAGACCGTAGCAGGACGGACACTGCTGGCAGCCTGGCACTGACCGGTTGTAGAAATAATTCTCCTCACACATGTCGCATCGCGCTCCGACGAAACCGGGTCGACACTCGCACCGGCCATCTTCCTTACACTGACCGGACAGAGAACCTTCAGGGTCACAGTCACACGCTGAGCAGGAAACAGAAAGACAAGAGTTTATTCACATTTCATTTCTGATTTGTAGCTCTAGAATAACTAAATCTATGACAATTATTTATTTGGTCCTTGGATCTCTTGGATCTCAGGGTTTTTGCTTCGTATTTATACTACAGAACTCTAAAGTAAGTAAGTTACAAGTGAAAGTAACTTGTTTGGTTTTCTCCTCACGTTTGCATCCAGATGAGCTGAAGCCGAAAAAGTTGACCTCACAGCGGTCGCAGTGCTGGCCGGCGACGCCAGGTTGGCACTCGCATTGTCCTGAGTCAATGTCACAGTCGCCACTGGTGGAGCCGATCGGGTTGCAGTTACATCTGTGGACAGGTATGGACAGAGGAAGTCATCAGATCAACCCACCGTTACCGTAACCCTGGATTCTAACTTCCAACCCTGATCTGTTTGAACACAATCTAAGAAATGAAAGGACTTTCTGTAACGGCTGGTCAGTGAAGGATGAATAAACTAAAGGTCTGAAATGTGGAGGGAACTCACTCCTCGCAGCCATTGCCGCTCTGCAGGTTGAAGAATCCCAGCTGGCAGGCGCTGCAGTCGCGTTGATCCACATTAGGGAGACACTGACACTGCGGTGACGGAGAACAGCTGGTCTGCTGATCCACTGTGCCCAGCGGAGAACAGGAGCAGGCTGACGACAAACACCGACAGGAAACACTAAGAGCTCAATGAAAAGCTCACCGACTCCCAAACTGGTTATCTGAAAACCGAGGCTGCAGCTCATCTGACGCTACATCAGCAGTAAAACATGAGCGCAGCGTCAGTCTATGTGTCAGTCAGTGGCTGTGGATGAAAACGTGTTGCTGGTCGTCCACAGATGGATGCGAACGAGAGGCTTACCTGCACACTTCTCAGCAGGGTTGGAGGCGTGCGGGTCTCCGAAGAAGCCGCCTTGCAGCGGTCGCAGAAGAAGCCGTCGGTGTTGTAGATGCACTTGAGGCATTCTCCTGTCTCGCGGTTGCAGTTGCCGACGGCATTGGGGTCGATGTTATTGCTGCACTGGCAGGAGCGGCAGGGTCGGGCCGGCCCGTTCTGACCCAGAGGGTCCCCAAAGAACCCGTCGTCGCAGAGCTCACATCGCTTACCTGCACACAGGTGAGGCATGTTCACATAATGTTGATGTCTACTTTGACTGATCTTAACAAATGTTTCAGTTTATATATTTTTAGGGGATCCTCTGCTGGAAGAACCAGGAGGTGGATTGGTGTCCGGTCTGTGGTACCTGTGGTTCCAGCAGGACAGTTGGTACAAACCACTTCTCTGGTTTTGGGGACGACGGCGCAGGTGGCTCCACTGGGGCAGGGACACGGCTGGCAGCCCGCCGAGCCCTGAGTGGCGTCGCCGTAAAAACCCGTCCTGGCAGCGCTCGCAGCTCAACCCGGCAGTGTTGTCCTGACAGTCACAGGCTCCTGGACAAGAGGCAGAAGAAACAAGGGATGGATTCACCAGTTCACTACCAGTAACAACCCAGTGTGACACTAAAGCCACTGGAAAAATGGTGAGAGAAGCAAAGCAGAACACCAGTTAGATCCAGTTAGAACCTCGAGAAATCAGTAGGAACCAATCCAAGGTTCTGTCTAAAACCTGAAAAAGACCAAACAAAATCACTGTGACCATCAAACCGTCCACTCCCAGAGTTCCCAGTGTTCCCAGTGTCAGAGTGGGAGGCAGCACTGCAGTCAATCATCCCAGTGTTCCCAGTCTTACCAGTATCAGGGTGGCAGGCGTCGCTGTGTCCATGGCAGTTGCAGACTTCACAGGAGCTGAAGGGTCCGAGCTCCAGCTGGGCCGGCGATATCCCAGGGTGCATTGCTCACAGTGCTGACCCTGGTAACCCGGCGGACACGTGCACTGCTCCACCCAGCGGGCCGGCACCCCGGGGGCCCTCCTCGCCGTGACCAAGGAGACATTGTCCAGGTAACCAGCACCTGCAGACACAGACGAAGGTTAAAGGCAGAACGACTCTGGAGGAAGGAAGGTGATGAAGGTAGTGAAGGTGATGAAGGTAGTGAAGGTGATGAAGGTAGTGAAGGTGATGAAGGTAGTGAAGGTGATGAAGGTGGTGAAGGTGATGAAGGTGATGAAGGTAGTGAAGGTAGTGAAGGTGATGAAGGTAGTGAAGGTGGTGAAGGTGGTGAAGGTAGTGAAGGTGATGAAGGTAGTGAAGGTGATGAAGGTGGTGAAGGTGGTGAAGGTAGTGAAGGTGGTGAAGGTATTGAAGGTGATGAAGGTGATAAAGGTGGTGAAGGTAGTGAAGGTGATGAAAGTGGTGAAGGTGATGAAGGTGGTGAAGGTGATGAAGGTAGTGAAGGTGATGAAGGTGGTGAAGGTGATGAAGGTGGTGAAGATGATGAAGGTGATGAAGGTGGTGAAGGTAGTGAAGGTGGTGAAGGTGATGAAGGTAGTGAAGGTGGTGGAGGTGATGAAGATGATGAAGGTGATGAAGGTAGTGAAGGTGATGAAGGTAGTGAAGGTGATGAAGGTAGTGAAGGTGGTGAAGGTGGTGAAGGTAGTGAAGGTGATGAAGGTAGTGAAGGTGATGAAGGTAGTGAAGGTGGTGAAGGTGATGAAGGTGGTGAAGGTGATGAAAGTGGTGAAGGTGATGAAGGTGATGAAGGTGGTGAAGGTGATGAAGGTGATGAAGGTGGTGAAGGTGATGAAGGTGGTGAAGGTGATGAAGGTAGTGAAGGTGATGAAGGTGATGAAGGTAGTGAAGGTGATGAAGGTGGTGAAGGTAGTGAAGGTGATGAAGATGATGAAGGTGGTGAAGGTGATGAAGGTGGTGAAGGTAGTGAAGGTGGTGAAGGTAGTGAAGGTGGTGAAGGTGATGAAGGTGGTGAAGGTGATGAAGGTGGTGAAGGTGATGAAGGTGGTGAAGGTAGTGAAGGTGATGAAGGTGATGAAGGTGATGAAGGTAGTGAAGGTGGTGAAGATGATGAAGGTGATGAAGATGATGAAGGTGATGAAGATGATGAAGGTGATGAAGGTGGTGAAGGTGATGAAGGTAGTGAAGGTAGTCAAGATGATGAAGATGATGAAGGTGATGAAGGTGATGAAGATGATGAAGGTGGTGAAGGTGATGAAGATGATGAAGGTGGTGGAGGTGATGAAGATGGTGAAGGTGATGAAGGTAATCAAGGTGGTGAAGGTGATGAAGATGATGAAGATGATGAAGGTGGTGGAGGTGATGAAGGTGGTGAAGGTGATGAAGGTGGTGAAGGTTGTGAAGGTGATGAAGGTGGTGGAGGTGGTGAAGGTAGTGAAGATGATGAAGGTGATGAAGGTGATGAAGGTGGTGAAGGTGAAGAAGGTGATGAAGGTGAAGAAGGTGATGAAGGTGATGAAGGTGGTGAAGGTGATGAAGGTGATGAAGGTGATGAAGGTGAAGAAGGTGATGAAGGTGATGAAGGTGGTGAAGGTGATGAAGGTAGTGAAGGTGAAGAAGGTGATGAAGGTGGTGAAGGTGATGAAGGTGGTGAAGGTGATGAAGGTAGTGAAGGTAGTGAAGGTGATGAAGGTGATGAAGGTGGTGAATGTAGTGAAGGTGATGAAGGTGGTGAAGGTGATAAAGGTGATGAAGGTGATGAAGGTAGTGAAGGTGATGAAGGTGGTGAAGGTGATGAAGGTGATGAAGGTAGTGAAGGTAGTGAAGGTGATGAAGGTGATGAAGGTGGTGAAGATGATGAAGGTGATGAAGGTGATGAAGGTGGTGGAGGTGATGAAGGTGAAGAAGGTGATGAAGGTGATGAAGGTAGTGAAGGTGAAGAAGGTGATGAAGGTGATGAAGGTAGTGAAGGTAGTGAAGGTGATGAAGGTGGTGAAGGTGATAAAGGTGGTGAAGGTGATGAAGGTAGTGAAGGTAGTGAAGGTGATGAAGGTAGTGAAGGTGATGAAGGTGGTGAAGGTGATAAAGGTGGTGAAGGTGATGAAGGTAGTGAAGGTAGTGAAGGTGATGAAGGTAGTGAAGGTGATGAAGGTGGTGAAGGTGATAAAGGTGGTGAAGGTGATGAAGGTAGTGAAGGTAGTGAAGGTGATGAAGGTAGTGAAGGTAGTGAAGGTGATGAAGGTGATGAAGGTGGTGAAGGTGATGAAGGTGATGAAGGTAGTGAAGGTAGTGAAGGTGATGAAGGTGGTGAAGATGATGAAGGTGATGAAGGTGATGAAGGTGGTGAAGGTGATGAAGGTGAAGAAGGTGATAAAGGTGATGAAGGTGATGAAGGTGGTGAAGGTGATGAAGGTGGTGAAGGTGATAAAGGTGATGAAGGTGATGAAGGTGGTAAAGGTGGTGAAGGTGGTGAAGATGATGAAGGTGGTGGAGGTGATGAAGGTGGTGAAGGTGATGAAGGTGGTGAAGGTGGTGAAGGTGATGAAGGTGGTGGAGGTGGTGAAGGTAGTGAAGATGATGAAGGTGATGAAGGTGAAGAAGGTGATGAAGGTGATGAAGGTGGTGAAGGTGATGAAGGTGAAGAAGGTGATGAAGGTGATGAAGGTGGTGAAGGTGATGAAGGTAGTGAAGGTGATGAAGGTGGTGAAGGTGATGAAGGTGGTGAAGGTGATGAAGGTGGTGAAGGTGATGAAGGTGATGAAGGTGATGAAGGTAGTGAAGGTGGTGAAGGTAGTGAAGATGATGAAGATGATGAAGGTGAAGAAGGTGATGAAGGTGGTGAAGGTAGTGAAGATGATGAGGTGGTGAAGGTGAAGAAGGTGAAGAAGGTGATGAAGGTGGTGAAGGTGATGAAGGTGAAGAAGGTGATGAAGTTGATGAAGGTGATGAAGGTAGTGAAGGTAGTGAAGGTGGTGAAGGTAGTGAAGATGATGAAGATGATGAAGGTGGTGAAGGTGATGAAGGTGATGAAGGTGGTGAAGGTGATGAAGGTGATGAAGGTAGTGAAGGTGGTGAAGGTAGTGAAGATGATGAAGATGATGAAGGTGATGAAGATGATGAAGGTGATGAAGGTAGTGAAGGTGGTGAAGGTAGTGAAGATGATGAAGATGATGAAGGTGGTGAAGGTGATGAAGGTGATGAAGGTAGTGAAGGTGGTGAAGGTAGTGAAGATGATGAAGATGATGAAGGTGATGAAGATGATGAAGGTGATGAAGGTGATGAAGATGATGAAGGTGAAGAAGGTGGTGAAGGTGAAGAAGGTGATGAAGGTGGTGAAGGTGATGAAGGTGGTGGAGGTGATGAAGGTGATGAAGGTGGTGAAGGTGATGAAGGTGATGAAGGGGTGAAGGTGATGAAGGTGGTGAAGGTGAAGAAGGTGATGAAGGTGGTGAAGGTGATGAAGGTGATGAAGGTAGTGAAGGTGGTGAAGGTAGTGAAGATGATGAAGATGATGAAGGTGATGAAGATGATGAAGGTGATGAAGGTAGTGAAGGTGGTGAAGGTAGTGAAGATGATGAAGATGATGAAGATGATGAAGGTGATGAAGATGATGAAGGTGAAGAAGGTGGTGAAGGTGAAGGTGATGAAGGTGAAGAAGGTGATGAAGGTGGTGGAGGTGATGAAGGTGATGAAGGTGGTGAAGGTGATGAAGGTGATGAAGGTGGTGAAGGTGATGAAGATGATGAAGGTGGTGAAGGTGGTGAAGGTGATGAAGGTGGTGGAGGTGATGAAGGTGGTGAAGGTGAAGAAGGTGATGAAGGTGGTGAAGGTGATGAAGATGATGAAGGTGGTGAAGGTGGTGAAGGTGATGAAGGTGGTGAAGGTGATGAAGGTGGTGGGGGTGATGAAGATGATGAAGGTGATGAAGGTGATGAAGATGATGAAGGTGAAGAAGGTGGTGAAGGTGATGAAGGTGATGAAGGTGGTGGAGGTGATGAAGGTGATGAAGGTGATGAAGGTGGTGGAGGTGAAGAAGGTGATGAAGGTGGTGAAGGTGATGAAGATGATGAAGGTGATGAAGGTGGTGAAGGTGATGAAGGTGATGAAGGTGGTGGGGGTGATGAAGATGATGAAGGTGGTGAAGGTGGTGAAGGTGGTGAAGGTGATGAAGATGATGAAGGTGATGAAGGTGGTGAAGGTGATGAAGGTGGTGGAGGTGATGAAGATGATGAAGATGGTGAAGGTGGTGAAGGTGATGAAGGTGGTGAAGGTGATGAAGGTGAAGAAGGTGATGAAGGTGGTGGAGGTGATGAAGGTGATGAAGGTAGTGAAGGTGGTGAAGGTGATGAAGATGATGAAGGTGATGAAGGTGGTGGAGGTGATGAAGATGATGAAGATGATGAAGGTGGTGAAGGTGGTGGAGGTGATGAAGGTGATGAAGGTGGTGAAGGTGATGAAGGTGGTGGAGGTGATGAAGATGATGAAGATGATGAAGGTGGTGAAGTTGATGAAGGTGGTGAAGGTGATGAAGGTGATGAAGGTGGTGGAGGTGATGAAGGTGATGAAGGTAGTGAAGGTGGTGAAGGTGATGAAGATGATGAAGGTGGTGGAGGTGATGAAGATGATGAAGGTGGTGAAGGTGATGAAGGTGGTGGAGGTGATGAAGATGATGAAGGTGGTGAAGGTGGTGGAGGTGATGAAGGTGATGAAGGTGGTGAAGGTGATGAAGGTGGTGGAGGTGATGAAGATGATGAAGGTGGTGAAGGTGGTGAAGGTGGTGAAGGTGATGAAGGTGATGAAGGTGGTGGAGGTGATGAAGATGATGAAGATGATGAAGGTGGTGAAGGTGGTGAAGGTGAAGAAGGTGATGAAGGTGGTGGAGGTGATGAAGATGATGAAGGTGATGAAGGTGGTGAAGGTGAAGAAGGTGATGAAGGTGATGAAGGTGGTGGAGGTGATGAAGATGATGAATATGATGAAGGTGGTGAAGGTGATGAAGGTGGTGAAGGTGATGAAGGTGATGAAGGTGGTGGAGGTGATGAAGGTGATGAAGGTAGTGAAGGTGATGAAGGTGGTGGAGGTGATGAAGGTGATGAAGGTGGTGGAGGTGATGAAGGTGATGAAGGTGGTGGAGGTGATGAAGGTGATGAAGGTGGTGAAGGTGATGAAGGTGATGAAGGTGGTGGAGGTGATGAAGTTGATGAAGGTGGTGGAGGTGATGAAGGTGGTGAAGGTGATGAAGGTGGTGGAGGTGATGAAGGTGGTGGAGGTGATGAAGGTAGTGAAGGTGATGAAGGTAGTGAAGGTGATGAAGGTAGTGAAGGTGGTGAAGGTGATGAAGGTGGTGAAGGTGATGAAGGTGATGAAGGTGGTGGAGGTGATGAAGGTGATGAAGGTGGTGGAGGTGATGAAGGTGATGAAGGTGGTGGAGGTGATGAAGGTGGTGAAGGTGGTGAAGGTAGTGAAGGTGATGAAGGTGGTGAAGGTGATGAAGGTGGTGAAGGTGATGAAGGTGGTGAAGATGATGAAGGTGGTGAAGGTAGTGAAGGTAGTGAAGGTGGTGAAGGTAGTGAAGGTATTGAAGGTGATGAAGGTGATAAAGGTGATGAAGGTGGTGAAGGTGATGAAGGTAGTGAAGGTAGTGAAGGTGATGAAGGTAGTGAAGGTGATGAAGGTAGTGAAGGTGGTGAAGGTGATGAAGGTGATGAAGGTGGTGGAGGTGATGAAGGTGATGAAGGTGGTGGAGGTGATGAAGATGATGAAGATGATGAAGGTGGTGAAGGTGATGAAGGTGATGAAGGTGGTGAAGGTGATGAAGGTGATGAAGGTGATAAAGGTGGTGGAGGTGATGAAGGTGATGAAGGTGGTGGAGGTGATGAAGGTGGTGAAGGTGGTGAAGGTAGTGAAGGTGATGAAGGTGGTGAAGGTGATGAAGGTGGTGAAGGTGATGAAGGTGGTGAAGATGATGAAGGTGGTGAAGGTAGTGAAGGTAGTGAAGGTGGTGAAGGTAGTGAAGGTATTGAAGGTGATGAAGGTGATAAAGGTGATGAAGGTGGTGAAGGTAGTGAAGGTGATGAAGGTAGTGAAGGTGGTGAAGGTGATGAAGGTGATGAAGGTGGTGGAGGTGATGAAGATGATGAAGGTGGTGAAGGTGGTGAAGGTGATGAAGGTGATGAAGGTGGTGAAGATGATGAAGGTGGTGAAGGTAGTGAAGGTAGTGAAGGTGGTGAAGGTAGTGAAGGTATTGAAGGTGATGAAGGTGATGAAGGTGGTGGAGGTGATGAAGGTGATGAAGGTGGTGGAGGTGATGAAGATGATGAAGATGATGAAGGTGATGAAGGTAGTGAAGGTGGTGAAGGTGATGAAGGTGATGAAGGTGGTGGAGGTGATGAAGGTGATGAAGGTGGTGGAGGTGATGAAGATGATGAAGATGATGAAGGTGGTGAAGGTGATGAAGATGATGAAGGTAGTGAAGGTGGTGAAGGTAGTGCAGATGATGAAGATGATGAAGATGATGATGGTAGTGAAAGTGATGAAGGTGATGAAGGTTCCTACTCCGCTCGCTGTAGGTTCCCGGATCTTGATGGCCGTCAGGTTGTGGAGAAGTTTCTGGAAGTCTGAGTCGCTGACAGAAGGTCTCCAGGGGTAGCCCGGCTGCTCGTGGAGCCTGAACCAGAACCAGAACCAGAACCAGAACGGTTTCATTATTCAGGACTGACAGAGAGCTGAGGAACCTTCTCTGGACAAGTCGCCTCATCTCACCTGAACACAAAGGTCTGCATGTTCTCGTTGGGGTAGGCGTTGCCCTGAGCGATGAGCGGGACGGCCAGCCTCATGCCGGACCCCTCCAGGATCAGATCCTCGGCCGACAGGCGCGCATCCCGCCGCTCCACCCGGAAGGTCATGCTCAGGTTTTGTCCGTAGCTCAGCATCTGATTCCTCAAGAACTTCTCTGTGGAGCAGAAAACAGCAGCAGTGAGTCTCTGAGGGAACCGGAGGGTCCGGGCGGGTCCGGTTCGGTACCTGGGGCCACCAGGTACAAGGGCTGGTAGTCTTCAGACACCAGGGACACTTCCTGTCCACTGGGGGACCACTGGACTGAGACGGTGGATCCGTCCCGCGTCTGGCCGCTCCACTCCTCTGTACCTGTAAACAGGAACAGGAAGTCAGGAGCCGACACTAGAGGGCAAGCGTGCCCAGAGTTCGGGCTGCAGGCGGAGTTCACCTCTGTCGAAGGTGGAGCTGATGGTGTGGACGCTGTAGCCCTCGGCGCTGTCGCACACAGACGAGTGCTGGAAGCAGAAACAAGCCGTGCAGCCCTGAGGGTTGTTGGGGTCCAAGTTGAAGTAACCTGGTTTACATCTGGAGGGACAGACGGGTCGGTGTGAAGGCTGTCTCAACGAGGGACAGAACCTGGGTGGGGGCCTCACCTGTCGCAGCTGAAGCCCTCCACGTTGTCTTTACAGCGGCACTGACCCGTGTTGACGTCACACTCCTGGGTGCTGCCTGACGGCGAGCAGGTGCAAGGCCTGGCAGACAAGCACAGGGTTAAATTAACCCACAAAGCACTGGGAGACAAAACGACCCCAAACTCAACGATGTGGCCAGCAGATGGGCTCAGAGGACACAGGTCCTGAGAGGTCGGTTCATTCCTGGCTTTCAGAAACTAACGTTGCAGATTCCCAGCCTGTCATGATCCAGTTTAATGCAGTGGACTGGGATCACTGGATCCATTCCAGTTTAATGCAGTGGACTGGGATCACTGGATCCATTCCAGTTTAACGCTGTGTGTCCAGGTGATGTTATTCGGTGGCGGCGCGGCGGCGTACCTGCAGCCGGCCTCGGTCAGGCTGGAACCCTGGGACAGCGGTCGCACTTCTCCCCGGTTACTCCGGGTTTGCAGGCGCACACGCTCTGTTGTTGCACTGAGGAGACTCAGAACCTGCAAACAAACGTCGGCCGTCAGCTCGGTAACCTTTAACCTCCCAAACATAGTTAGCATCAATGAATTAAGCTGGAATAGAGCAGGAAAACCTAATTCCACCAGAAGGAGACAGACAGACAGAGACATTCTCCTGGAAAACATGCACAGAGCTAAAAATGATGCAAACACCAAATAAATCCACAAAAACTTTTCCATAAAAAACCCATGAAAAAGCAAAAAGTAAAGATGTAAAATATGCCAGAAAGGAGCAGAACATCACCTTATAATCAACAAGGAACATTTTAATCAGAACACAGATTTAAAAACTGAGAATATCCAGATAAATAGGAAACATGCAGAAACAGCAGTAAAATGACCAGCAGGGGGCAGAAAACCACTGCTGTTCAGTTCAAGGTTTTGAAATCCAGTTTATGACGTTTTACCTTTGGTTTTATATTTATCAGCTTATTTTCTGTCTGAGCCGTTTTGACTGAGTTTATAGGTCAGAGTTGATAAAACAGTTTCTGTTTCTCAGACTTTGGATCAGCGCAGAAATGAACCGGTTGACCTGTCAGATGTGAGCCGGGCGTGGCAGATTCATGCGTCCATAATCCACGTTTCACGGCCAGGATGAAAGGATGAAGTTGCTGTTTCTGTTGCTGCCGGGACTCACCGATGGAGTTGCAGTTGCAGGGCAGGCAGCGGTTGCCGCTCTGGTCTCTGTGGTAGTTGTCGAGGCAACGCTCACAGTTGGGCCCGTCGGTGTTGTCGGCGCAGTTTCTGCAGTGACCTCCGTGACCCGTGGCCCGGTACAGCTCGGCATCGAAGTAACAGTCTGAGCTCTTCCTGTTGCAGTCGCAGGCTGAAACAGGAAACAGCAACAATCCCTGAAAACTCAATATAAGCACTAAACACTTTAACCAGAACTAACAGTTTAACCAGAACAAAATACTTTAACCAGAACTAACACTTTAAAATAACAGTTCAACCAGAACTAAATACTTTAACCAGAAAACTAACAGTTCAACCAGAACTAAATACTTTAACCAGAACTACAGTTTAACCAGAACAAATACTTTAACCAGAACTAACACTTTAAC